TTAATTCCAGGGCCCAGAGCTTTTGTGATGCCCACAGGTGGATACCTCCTGGGGGAAAACAGTTTATAGGTTTGTAAAGCAAACGCACACGGTTTTCACACCACATGCTTAATCAGGGGAAAACCTAGACAATACGCTTGTACAACATGGTGAGGACGGGGGCACCCGTGGTGGGGGAGAGTGGACAGTAGCGGGCAAGTGATGCCAGGCTTAACCGGTTGGGCATGGTTCAAAGTTTTGGGAATGGGTTAATTCACACCCAGATTGTGCTGGGCTACTGCAGCCTTGAACACTTCTGATTTAATGAGAGCAATCATTCTGCTGTTCATATTATTTAAAAGCTCCCACTTATTTTCCTTGGATACCTGTCACAGCTAAACAAATCAGAGTGGCTGCCCCTGGTTTGTTTAGCGCGATGTGCAAACCAGGAATTCTGGCTAGCTCCTATTGGTGACAGTGTTTGCCTTCTGAATCTGGCTACTTAGGAGAGAAAGAAACCAGAATCCCTGTTTTGCATATGGTGCTAAACAAATTACCGTTACCATCTTGGTTTGTTATTACTTTTAAGAGAAGCCGCACAACTCTGCTTGTTTATTGCTTGCCACTGACCGACCAGCAGAATTCTTTTATAATTCTGGCTCATCTTCACATTTGGGGAAGAATATCCGGAGGAAGCCTGGAAAAGACCGTGTTGGATTAAAATTTCTGCTTCCTGCGGACTATATTTCTGGGGATCCCCCAGTGTAACTTTTGTGCAGAGCACAGACTTTTATGAAATTGATTCTGGCTGAGTTCACACCTCAAGCTTTCCCATGGTTAACTGAAGCACGCTTGACTCTGTATTCTAGTTTGCCTAACCAGCCACACGGGGCCACAGAACGTGCTGCACTCCGATGGGCTTGGCTAGTTTGGGACTGGACGCGCACAAAGCCTGTGAGGCTTAAGAGAATCCTGCATCAGAGACCAAAACTTCAGCTGGGTTTGGACACATGTCTCAGTAGGTGGCAGTACTGAGCTGATTCCACAGAGCTAAGAAAGCTTGATTCTGGTTAGTGCCTGGATGGGAGACCACCAGAAGATCCCAGGGTTGTGGGCCTCAACTGGAAAGTGGACCAAACAAGGCCCTGGCAAGCCACTTCCTGTTTTTGCCAAGAAAACTACAAGGAGGTGGCCACATAGTCAACAGGGGTGGAGTTCAACTCAAGGAAGTGTTTATCTTTCATCTATCAAAATAGTGTGAAAGTCCAGCTTCCCTTATGCTCTCCAGGAAGCGAGATACAGATATTACATTTCGTCATTCCCCCCACGCAAGGTTTTCCGTGCCTTCCACCAACCCTCTCGGGAGAAACTTCTCCATTTTTACGCAGTGTTATTCAGTGTGGTCTTTTGACTTACAGAGACCCCCAGGAGGCAGTCCGCGACCAGCTTTGTCTTCTATTAAGACACGTCAGGCGCTCGTAGCTCTACCTACGCATTTGCTAAATAAATAAATATATTTTATCACGATTGCATTTATATAATTGTTGTTTTTATTTGATTGGTATACGCCACCCAGAGTCACTTCTTGTGAGATGGGTGGCTACACAGATTGGATCAATCAATCTTATTCAGTGGGGTTCAACCCCTTTAGTAAGCTTTAGTATGTGGTAGGAGTTGTGCAATTGTGGGGTTTTATCCTGGGGGTAGGATTGCATCTACTTAGCCAATGCAACCCCAGAACCCAAAAATAGGTCAATTCCATAACCAAGCTGCAAACCGAATGGTAAAATCTCATCATTGCGAGCCCAGGAATTTCTCAAGGAGAACTCCCACTTTCCAAACCTGCCAGCCCACTCATGGTAGGGCTACCAAATCAGGGGAGCAAATTCCAAGATGACCACTAGATGGCGGCCAAGAGTTGGGGCTTTCCGATCAGTCCTGCCTGCCCTCTGCTGGCCACGTAGCGCTTTGCACCCCAGATTTGGGAGTTGCAACTCTTGAGTTTCTTTTGCTCCAGCAGTACAGAGGAGGTGGGCCAAGAATCACTTTGGGGCCTGGCAGTCAAATTTCTCTGCTGATTTGCTGCCTATAAACGATACTTGCTGGGAAGAATGGGAGTTATAGTCCACCTCGCTGGATGAATGCTAGCTCAGGGAAGGCAACTCTGGGGCACAGAATCCTTTTCCGATCTTCTGCAGGTTCTTCTGATGTACCTCTTGATCATCATCAAGGATGATCCCGTGGGTGATTCAGGATATGCGGTTTTCTAAGGGCAGTTGGAAGGGGCCGTTGAGGTCCTAAAGTCCACCCCTCTTCAGAAGCAGGAAGGCATATGTAAGCATTCCAGCCAGAGGGCTGTCCAGCCTCTGCTTGAACAAATCCAGGGAAACCAGCTTGGTGGGTCACTGTTTCTACTGTTCAGCTACTTTTCATTAGGAACTCTCTTTGGTTATTTTACACATTTAATCAGAATCTGCCTTTCTGTAACTTAAATTGGTTATGGTGTGTCATGCACATTGGAACAATGGTGATCAGGCCTGGATCTCTTTCTGTATGCTCATCTGAAGAAGATAACCATCTCCCTTCCTCATCTTCTCTTCATAGGACTTAACTTACAGTTCCCTAATCAACCGTGGTGTCCTTCTCTGAACCTCTTTCAATTTCTCTAAAGCCTTCTTAAGGTGCCCAGAACCAGACATAGCTACCAAGATAGGGTCTGGCCAGGGCTGAAAACAAAGGAATGATTACATCCTGCAATTTGGGAATCATACACCTGTTGATGCAGCCTAAAACCGCATTTGCCTTTTTTGTAGCTACCTCACATAGTTGGCTCATATTTAGTTTGCCATCAACTACAAAGCCATTACTTTTTTTACAAGTACTATTACTGAGTCAAGTATGAGCTGCCCAGAGTCACCCACTGGGGGAGATGGGTGGCATACAAATTTAATAAATAAATA